ACTAAATGTGACTAGAAACACAGAAAACAAGAGCAATGTACCACTTCAACTCTGGCAGCCCATTTCTTGCCATGATGCTTTGGATAAAATGATTCTTTTTTTTTTTCTTCCATAATTTTGTTGAGAAACAAATAGCATGAGACAGTTTCAAATCAAATTGGTAGGACAGTTTCAATAATTAACACATTGCATACTCTCTTCCTAGTGGTTATTTGCTGTACAAGATGCGGACATGATATCCTATTTATAAACGCTATTAGAACAAATCCCTCTATTCATTAAGAGAATGTAACTATATATCTAAATAAAATGATTCTTATGAGGAAGCCAAAGTTTGATCATGCGATCCACTTTTTTGATGATTTTAAAAGGTTTTTTTTTTTTTTTCCTATATGGCAAATTCTGGCCAACTGCAGTAACGGTTTGACCTTCCCGGTGCTGGTGATAAGAGGCTTCTGTAGACTCCACAGCACCCTGGTTATTAAAGCTTAACCAAAACAACTCCCTTAATTAAAGACCCAGTTAAAACCCTGACTCTCCTCCATCTGATTATTACAAGTGGGCGAAGCTGGAATTTAAAAGAAAAATTTAATGTTAGATTCATTAACAATCTGGGAGTTGTCTTTCCTCTAGGATTATATGGGGAGGAAGAAAGAAGAGGGGGTTATGAATCTGTGCAACCAGCAGGCCTCAGCTTTGCATCAAACATTAATTCAGTGCATCATCCTTCATGGAGGAGGAGGAGCAGGTAGCTTCCAGGACCCCTGAGGCTACCACAATCTGCAAATGTTCAAGTTCCTAATATAAAGAGATGTAGTATTTGCTCAGAACCTAAATGCGTATCTTCCCATACACTTTAAACTCATCTCTACATCACTTATGACACCTAATACACTGTAAATGCTATACATAGATGTTATCTTGCATTGTTTAGGGAATTATGACATGAAAAACACCTCTACATGTTCAGTACAGATGCAACCTCCTTTTTCAGATATTTTCACTCCACAGTGGGTTGTATCCCGGGAGCAAAACTGACAGACTTGAACCCTGGGACCCAGAACCATATAGGAGGTCACCGTCACCTGTACTTACCAAAGGAAGACGGTGAAGTTTGGAAGTTTTTACTTGACTCCTAGCTCATTAGAAAAAAATCTGTTGATAATGTTATGTGTACAGATTGAAAAGATACTCAGACTCTAACATGAAAACTATTCTAGGCATTCAGTCAACTTAATCACTAGCACTAGAATCACCCAGGCATACAAGGGATGATAGAAAAAAATGGTGCATGCTTAAATTCAACATATATATATATATATATATATATATATATTACAGTAAAAGACACATGGCCACGATTCCCATTCAGAATACTCCTCCTTCATTGGAATAAATTTATTTCATCATTATTGCTGTTCTCTGAAACAGTTCTGGAAGTTATCTCTCGTGAATGCCTCTGGTTGTGTTGTGGCTGTCTTGGTGTCCTGAACTGATAAAATATTTACTGTTCATGGTCATTTTGGCTTTACGAAAGAGCCGGAAATCCCATGGTGCCAGATCTGGTGAATAAGGTGGACAAGGGCACTGTAGTGTTTTTTACACACCTGCTTTTCTGTTGTTCAATGGCATCTGAGCAGCATTTACTGTATTTTTGATCACACTTCATGAAAGAGGAACTGCTTCAGAAAGAGGCAAGAATAATGGGATAAATATGTTGAAGTAAGGAGGAGTATCTATACTGACAAAGATCTACAAAATGCAGTACAGGGCTTCAAGGTAAATCTTAAAGGGATTTGACTGACCTTGTAGATACAAAAGTTACATTTCTTGTTATATAGGTCTTGCTTTATCTTGGTCTTAACCATCCAGCAGAAAAGTATAAAAATGAAGTATAAAAAGTAAAGCCATATTAATATGCTGAGCTGTAAAAGGCTCAAGTCAACAACTTCTGACATTGCCAGTCCTACGGATAACTCACGACTATTATGGACTACTGGACTATATCGGAATATTTTGCTGAATTCACCACCTACAATATTTAAATGACAATGTAACACTCCTTTGACAAAACCAAACAAAAAGAGGGGGTATAAATGAAGGACTATTTTGTATCTCTATATACAGAATAGTTAGGATAGATACTTTCTCTTAATTCAATGAGAAGAAAGATTTGTACTAATAGTGTTTGGACAGGATATCATGTCTGCATCTTGTACTATGAATAACCACTATGAAGACAACAGTATGTAATATATCAATTATTGAAACTGTCCTACTAACCTGTTTTGCAACTGTCTCATTGCTATTTGCTTCTCAATAAAATTAATTTAAAAAGGAGGAGTATCTGGAGGGGGATTTGCAATAGATCAGTATATGTCTTTATAATAAAATTATTTATTTAAATGTTCACTCTACATTTTCATCATAGTACTTGGTACCCTGCAGCCCAGCAAGTCTGCAATAAACCTGATGTCCCCTGCCAGGGCTGTGTATTCAAATACATAAAAATGTATTTCAAGCATCCTTATTGAGCTATCTGTTGCTTTGTAACAGTATGGGAGATATAAAGAGGACTATGGGGTCGTCTTTTAGTTGCACAGAGTTGGCTCTTCGGCCGGGAGTTCTGCTTGGCACTCATGTTCAGGGCTCTGAATAGCCAGGTGAACTCAGGTTAGCTTTTCATTTCACAAAGATTGATGTCCCCTGGGAGGGGACATTAATATCTGAGAATCTGCAATGCAAAGGTATAAGGTTAAAGAATCTCGGTCCACAAAGAGTTTCCATTTCCATCTCTGCCTGAATACATGAATATTTTGCATTAGAAATCATACTTTCCTAAGGCAAATGAGAAAATGATTTTTTTTCTTAAAGAGTGAACTATTATATTTCACTAAAAATGTTTCCAGCTGGGCATGGTGGAAACACTCAACCCTACAACTCTAGCACTCAAGAAGCCGAGACAGGAGAATCACTGAGAGTTCCAGGCCAGCCTGGGCTCCATAGGAAAACCCTGTCTCAAAGACAAAACAAGCAAACAAAGCAAGAAAAAAAAGTATGTTTCCATGCAACCATCACTTGGAAGTATGCTATTTGGAGGAAAGAGAAGTGAACCTTAGTTCAATTACAGCTCTGTCAAAAGAGAATGTTTAACTTCCAACAAAAAATCTCTCCCTCCTGGGACACAGTCTATTGACAACAATCATCTTCAAAGCACACCATATGCAGCACTTCATAAGGATTATTTCATTTAATCCCCAGCACAACTTTGGAGGAAAGGGTCATTCTTTCTGAAATTCAGAGAAAAAATAAGGAAAGGTGAGAAAACTCAAGAGAGAGTGACCAACTGCTATGGTTCTTTTTCTTAATTATAAAATAATTCACATCTTAACAATTCCCTCAAAAGGTCAAGGTCTCCAAGCTAATGAGATGCAGAGGCAAGCTCCAGACACAGGTGGGCAAACCTCAGAGCGCTTGCTCTTAACATGTGTGCTCTGTAAATCTTTAAGAGGTAAGGGGCTGGCCTAGCTCACCCTGGAGTCATACCAGTTTTAAAAGTCCAGGGATGTAATGGTCCCTGCAGGAGGATTAAAGGATAACAACCCTTTGAAAAACCAACTTCTAGCAATGGCAGTGGGAGAAAACCATAAAAACTGGGCAGCAGCAGCATTAGAAATCAGAACATAGATTCAGAAATTGCTTTTAGTTTACTATGAACTCAAAAAGTTTAAGGCTATTCAGATTTCTCATAGAAATCTGAGATCAGATCAGAGTCTAAATCATTAAAGCTGAATTAAACCACTGAAAAAAGAATCACAGTCTGAATGCATAAAAAAATAGTACCGGCTATTCTTGGTTTTAAAGAATTACATGGCTTCTTTTTCTGTTGAAAAAAAAAAGTTATCACTTACCTTCTTTGAACTACAGCTCAAAATCATTCATGGAAATGCATAAACCTAGTAATGATCATCTGTATGGAAGATACTTCAAAGGAGTTGTGCCCTTGGAAAGAAGAAGGGGTGCAAGAAAGTTCTCCCAGGAAGAGCAGAGTTGGGGCACGGATCTGACAGCTGTTCCATGCTCACTTTACTGTGTCTTTTAGCAGCCAGCTTTGGGGAGCTGCGACACCAAGGGGATGGGAGGTCATGCAGTTGTTGCTGCCTGTGACTCATTTAAGCAGGAAGCCAGGGAGGTGGGAGAACGCTTGGGGACGAGAAGTTCTTCTGGTTAAGGTTTAGTGGCTTGGACACAGGAAATCAGATAGGACTAAAAGTCAAGTCAGAGACCGGAGAGGCTAGACTCAAAGAATCTAAAGGGTCAACCGCCAACCCATCCATTTTGTTCAGAAGTCTTAAATATTGGAGAAGAAATAAATACAACTCAGAAGGGGGATGTGTGTGGGGCTCTAGAAACTGTCCAGTTCACACACACTTCCACAGCAGTGAGGAATAGAGCCACCAACGGGGCTTGTTCAGATCCCACCTGGTAAAACCAAAGTAATGTTTTTACAGCACTTTAATAAAAATCTCAAATGGATCAGTTCTTTGAAAGTTTGCCAACTACAGAAACAGGGATCCACAACACGCTGATTGCTAACTACTCACAGCATTATGTGATCTAGGCCTGGGAGTCCTTTAAGTTACAAGTTAACATCCTGATCTCCTAGTGTAAGTATCAAGCACAAAATATTTCCATGTTCTATCTGTCCCAATTCCCCAAGCCTCCTCCCACTGAGCCAGAAATGGACCTTGTCTTTTAAGAGGGATGGATGCCTGAGTAGGTTTTCAGGATACTCATGCTCAGTGGCTTCCAAAAATAACATGCAGTAGCGCGGGCCATCTGAGAGCGGTACAAAGCCAGCGCCGCCAAGGACCAGAACTTAGTGAAACACCGGCTTCCCACACAAGAAGCCACCAGCACATTAGAAATGATCTCGCTCACTGTTCCCCACTGTTCCCCACGAACCAAGCGAAACAACAGCTTAATGGCCATTTCCTCACCGGAGCCAGCCTGCTGGGGCTTCTGGCTTAGGAACAGGACGCCGCCTCGGACACAAAGGGGCCTCGGGCATCCCCGCGCTCTGCCGCCCTCGGGAGCTGCAGTTCACTCTGGGTCGCACCCGTCTGACGCCAGCTCTCTCCCCCACTCACCCCTTAAACACTGCTTCTCTGCGGAGCTGCGGCACCAACGCGAGGGGCTGTAGAGGCGAGGAAGCCCAGCTCGCCTATTTCACCGCGGGTGACCCGGCAGGAGGGACCCCGGCAAACACGGTCGTTGGGGGGTTGGCTCACGGTGGTAAGCCGTGGGGTCCCCTTGTTGGACCGTTCCGTTGGAGTTGGGGTGAGGGTGACACTCAGGTGCGGGCGCACAGAAAGTGCTCGGAGCGGCCGCGAGCCCGGCGGCGCTGTGCAGAGGAGAGGAGTGGGGGCGTGGGGAGGGGTTCCTGCGTGGGGCTCCCGGAGCAGTGGACAGCACCGCACTGACCCGGTCCCCGCGGCGCGGCGCTCCCAAGCACCCTCTGCCTGTGACCAGGGGGAGCGCGCGGGGCACTCCGGGCCGCCACCAAGCTCCGCCCGGCCCCACCTGCGGATCGGGGTCGCCCCACCTGCAGATCTGAGGTCCCAAGGTGTCCGCGTCCCATCCCTGAAGCAGCCCAGACAACGCTTACCCGAGAGGGGCGGCTCCCAGGGCTGGCGGGTCCGGCGGGCGGAGAGGTGCGCTTAGCCGGCGCGGGCGCCGGGCCGTGCGCTCGCCCCGACTTCCTCTTCCTTGCCGGCTCGCGAGCCCCTCGGCCGCGCCCGCCGCCCCTCCCCGCGCTCCAGCGCCGCTCCCCGACGCGGGTCGTCCCGCCTCCTCGGGCGCTGCGGGCGACCAGGTGGAGGAGGAGGGAGCCCCGAGAAAGAAAGAAGAGATTAAGCCCTTGGCCATGTCTCTGGAGCTGTGCCAAAGAGAGCAGTCAAATTACAGCCTGGGGGGGGGGGGGTCCTTAAAAGAAAAAATCCCTGCTACTGTTTTCGCAGACGCATCAGTTTTCTTTATTTTTCTGGGTCTTGGAGATGTAGCTTTCCCTTGGACTTGATCATTTCCTACATGAGTTCTTTAAAATAATTTAGGCAGTTGCTCTTAATCAGCATTCTAGTTAGAATGAGGTCATAACGGGTAAAAGGAGGCGAAGCTCCTGGTTTATTTTCAGGCCTCGTTACCTTAATCACCTCGGTTAATGTGCCGAACGACCTTTGCTTAGAGAAAGTAAAAGTGGAAAAGGAGGACGGCAAAGAACAACCTTGGCGATAGCAAGGGAGGTGTTGAAAGGCACCGGGCCTGCAGTAAAAGGATGAGTTCAGTCAGAAAGGTGCCCAGGGGTGAAGTCATTTCTTGATGCTGCCAAGCCACTATCAGGCTTGTGTATGGTTTCCTTTCGGATTAGGCGCATATGGGAGGCACTTACTTGTTTCCAGACCTTCCGTTCAGCAGTTCCTAACCTGTGGCCCTGAGCGAACTGAGTTAAACTCTTTGCCTCTTTCCTCTCACCTATGAAATAGGGCTGTGGATGGTACTGCCTACCTAAGAGAGCTCCTACCTGTGATTGAAATAAGATAATGTGCATGAAAGATTAGGAAACTGCCCAGCACCTAATAAAGCCTGGATAAATGTTAACTATTATTGTTTTGGAATTTCCCCTTTTGACTTCAAGCATGTACATAATTGTGGAAATTATAACAAAGATTTGCAACAAAATGAGGTTTTGCATGCAGGAAGCCTGGCTACCCAGTGTCACAATTCTGTCCTCTACAACGTGAAGTTCATGTTCTGTTTGACAAGGATTCTGAGTTTCCAGAACTGACTCATAGTATGTGATGCTCTGGGGCTAGGCTATGCTCACAGTGCATTTGCAGCGGTTGATTTGCGGTGGGACTAAAGGAGATATTTGGCATCCTCAAAGCATCGCCTTGGTTGGTCTTTCATTAGCCCTGTTAGGTGACAGGACAGGTGCTGACTTCCTCAACTATGACCTTTCCAGGTTTCTGGAGGGCACATAAAACCACTTGTGCTACCATCTCTCTATGCTGTTATTTGCGATAGAAATGGGCAACAACAGTACCTGACTCCTGAACAGCATGTTTTGTGGAATAGTAGGGTAGTTCCCCCACCCCATCCACAGTTTCAGTTTCCATGGTGCCTGTTCCTAGAGGTCAACACTAGTTTGAAAATATCAAATGGAAATTTTTTTGGAAATAAAAACTTCATAAGTTCTAAATTGCATGCCATTCTCAGTAGCATAATGAGATCCCTTGCTATCCTGCCCCTAGGGATGTGAATCTTTCTTTTGTCCGTTGTATCCTGGCTGTATACACTACCTACCCGTTAGTCATTAGGAACCATTTTGTTTCTGAGATTGTCGTGGTGCAGTACTGCAGTGCTTGGTTTCAAGTATCTTGCAGTGTATTTAATGATGGCCCCAAACACCAAGGGGAGTGATTCTGGCAATTTCATTGCAGTATATTGATACAGTTGTTCTGCTTTATATTTAGTTATTATTGCTTTATTGTGCCTAGATTATAAATTAAGCATGATCCCAGTTTTATGTGTATAGGAAAAATATCACAAATATGTACACAGAGCTTGGTGCTAGCCATAGTTTCAGGCACCTCCAGGGGTTTTGGAACACATTCCTGAGGATAAGGTAGACAACTGTTACTTCTATGGAATCTGTCATAAATAGGTGCTGGCCCCTACTTGACACTCAGAAGATCTAGGGTTCAAAGAAGCTACTTGTTGAGTGTATTTGTGACTAGGAGACAGGCGCTGAGGCACCTTGGAAAGGAAGAGGGGACACTTGGGGTTTCCTGGTCTCTAGAGCAGGGCAGCTTAGAGTGGAACAGCAGGACACTGGGATCCCACGAGAAAACTGAGCTGCAGCAGATGCGGCCACCTGCTGGCTGCTCCCGTGGGCAGAGGACAGTGTTAACTGTTGATCCTTATTTAGAGAATGGCCACAATGGTTCCTTCCCAATCCACTTCTCTTCATGCCACTTCAGTGTAGTATGCAGCGGGAAGTGGAAACAAGACCAGAAAGCCTTTTGTTGCTACTGTGCCAGACATGCACCAAACACTCACACAGTGTCGTTCCTGGTTGCCAAACACATGTGTGTTTTGCTTCAGATCACTAAGATGGTCTCGTTGGGATCCCCTAGACTAACTGCAGAGAGCCGAGTTTCTCTGTGTGGGTAGCATGTAGCTTAGTTCCTAATGCATAATAGGTACATGAGGAGTGACTGAAAAAATAGAAAGAATTTTTTAAAAAATTTTGGCGCTCTAAACAATTTATTTAACTGAAATGGACTTACATTTGTTTCTGAAGTGACTTCCATTTATTTTGATACATCTTTTCCCTATGATGATTTACAGGATAGGATCTTCAAGACAATACAAATATTTTACAAATATTTGAATATTTGGGTATACTCCTGCATGATACCTCAGCAATATCTTTCAGCAAGAAAAACCCTGAAAAAAAATTTAAAAAAGAAAAAACACCGAAGAGTAAAGACTAGACACAATTACTAGGTACAGTGAAAATCTGCTGCAAATACTTCTGAGGTAAGAAGGCACCATATACCTGTTCAATTAAGAAAACCACCCCTACAACACAGGATGATTTTATTTATTTATTTATTTATTTATTTATTTATTTTTTGGACAGTTAGAGACCTGTTAGTTTATTTATTTTTTCAAAGTTTTATTGATAAACAGATAGCAATGAGACAGTTTCAAATCAAATCGGAAGTACAGTTTCAACAAATAATACACTGCATATATTCTTCTTAGTGGTTAATTGCTGTACAAGATGAGGACTTGTGATCCTATTTACAAACACCATTAGAACAAATCATTCTATTCATTAAGAGAATGCAACTATATATCTATCCTAACCACTTTGAATACACAGATACAAAATGGACATTCATTGGTATACCCCATTTTTTCTAAGTTCCGTTATTGAATATTATAGGTGTGTAAACTCAGCAAAATATTCTAAAAGAGTCCAGTAGCCCATAATAGCATTGGGTCTTCTGTTTAACTGGCAATGTCAGAAATTATTGACCTGAGTCCCCCACAGCTCAACATAACAGCATGGCTTTATTGGGATGATTTTATTTTTATGTAGGACATAAAACACTTAAGCTGCCAATTAGATACTGAATGGCAGAGCAACATCCCCAGTTTATGCCATGCATTCATAGGGAATAGGTTCCAACAACTCAGGTTCCTTTCCATTGGTTCTCACAAAGAATGCTTCAGAGGGGAACCCGGTATATGTTTTCAAGGCATTTTAGAAAGCATGGGATTGTTCCTTTGGCCACATACATGCAAATCTACCAAAAGGGTGATATCGTAGACATCAAGGGAAAGGGTACTGTGCAAAAAGGAATGTCTCACAAATGTTACTATGGCAAAACGGGCAGAATCTACAACACTACCCAGCATGCTGTTGGCATTATTGTAAACAAGAGGGCAAGATACTAGCCAAGAGGATTAATGTATGTATTGAGCATATTAAACACTCAAAAAGTCGTGATAGCTTCCTAAATTTTTAAAAAACCTTATAGTAAAAGGTACATTGGCATTAATCCTCCCTCAAAATGCCCACCTTGTCCTTGAACAGACTTGCTCCATCATTCTGGAAGCAGCTCTGGAAGTCCCTCTCCTGTGTGGTTAGTTGCACTGTTCTAGCTGCCTTGATGTCTAGAATTGATTTAAAAAGTCTGACTTTCATAGTCATGTTGAGTTTGGGGAATCACTAGAAATCCTACAGTGTCAGATCCAATGCAGAAAGTGGATGAGGACAGTGTAATGCTTTTAGCCACCTGCCTTTCTTTCGGATGACACTTAGCAACAGCACTGACAGAATTTTTGATAGCACCTCATAAAGACTGGCACAAACAAGGATGTCCAGAAGTGCTTTCAAAAATGGCAAAAGCATTGGGATATTTATTTGAAGCAAAGGGAAAATGTTGAAGTAGATGATGGCAATATGGCTTTTACTATAATAACTGCTAAAATGTAACTGTTCACCATATACTTTCATCATATCCCACATACAGAGGTAGATGGGAGGTGGGTGGAAGAGTGGGTGGAAGAATTAGGTAAAGGTTGTGACAGGTTATTATGTAGCATCCTAAGGTAAGAAAGTGAAAGGAAAAGAATCTAATGGAAAGGTGTTCTAAGCACATGTCCAGTATTAGGAAAATTCTTTTGGTGAGGAATCTTCCTAACATTCTTGTCATGGTCAAGAAAGGAAAAGAGAAGCCATTTAAAATGCTTATAAAAGAAGAATTTTAACGTAGAGAATTGATTGTAACTGTGATTGGAGAACCAAGAAACCACAGTAGACAATGAGGCAGTGCAGAAATTCTAACAGCAGGAAGCCACCAACAGCCCAAGACAGGAGAAGCAGGCATGGTAGTGGTGTGGTATGGTGTGGTGTGGTGTGGTTGTGGTGGTGGTGGTGGTGGTGGTGGTGGTGGTGTGTGTGTGTGTGTGTTAAGTTGGGAGCTGTCTATTGGGGACCCTGGCAGTGAGGAGGAGAAATACCCTCATTTCTTCCTTCTGCTCTCAAAGGTGGGACCTTCCATTGTTTGGAGCTGG